TTCCAGCATAGCAGCCGCCCCGTGGTCAATGCTTAGCTCCAGCTGCCCTCTATCACATCTCCTTTCTTCACCAGAGTCTCAGCTAATGATTCAACACTGACTGAGGTGCCAGGCACGAGGGTGGGTGATGGGGACAGCAATGATGTGACATTGCTCTCCAGGAGTCTGTTCTCCCAACTCTTGGAACGTTCTAAAAGGTGGTTCTCTCCGCCTCTCCACCCCTTTCTCCTCCCTCTGCCCTGGGAGGGGGTCTCAAGCTTAATCCCAGGGGTGATTAATCCTTCGGTGAACCGGTGAACCGGCGGGAGGGTGGCAAGGGGAGCCAGCCAGATCTAAGGATCAAAGGCACGTGCAGGAAGAACCCCAGGAAGCCGGCTGGGTCCTCAGAAACGCCTTCAGCATCAGCCGAGGTTCCAAGGGCAGAGCCAGCAGCATTTGGAGCGAAGGATGGAAAGCTCAGAAAGGAAGTTTGACTCGCCCACTGCGTGGGATCTGCGAATCCCATCCCCGGGCGGTGTGCGGTCGTAACCCCAGGTCCTCGCCTGGATCCCAAGCTGCACACGCACCCGCCAAGGGCCGGCGACCCTGCAGGCTGTGTGCGCTCGGAACGGGGAGCCTCCTTCCTTTTCCTCCCTCTTACTTCCACAAACTCTTTAGGGGCGTGTGTGGGGGGCGGGACGGGAAAGGGTGAGCAGAAAAGCCGAAGAGGAGTCCTTTCCCCCTCTGTCTGGGGCTCGGGGCTCTCCCCTGCACACCCTCTCCGCCCTGCGCTCACCCAGCATCTGCCTCACTCCTGCACCTCTGCGCTCCAGCTGCAGACCGGCTTCCAAAGAGCTGGATGGCTAGGGCCACAAACCAGAAAAAAAATAAAATAAAATAAATAAAAAATAAAACTGGGGCGAAGGGAAGGTCTTTGCTGACCTGGACCCAGGGGCCCTCTTTGAAACTGAGGAGTCCCAAGATGCTTGGGTCCCATGTTCCCAGATCTCTTTCCCTTTTAGAGGTCGCCTCCGAGGCCACTGCAGCCCGGCCCCAATGCGGTCAGGATCTAATCCATCACCTGCGGATTGAAATCTGTCCTGAGCGCTGAAGGCGAGCGCACTGCGCATCCACACACCGTGGACTCATTTAAGCGTGAAGGCCACACTGCCTGCCATCGTGGAGTGCCTGAGAAGTAATTGAGACCGGAGCCCAGAATGTGCAGCCTCTTAAGAAAATTTCCCAAATATTTCCTTTCCCTCTGCGTTAACTTCTTTTGTTTCTCTAATGAGACAGATCCCCAAACAGTATTCTCCAAGTGTGGTCCCAGGACCAGCAGTAGCAGCAGCAGCAGCAGCGGCGGCGGCGGCGGAGGCAGCAGCACGGCTTGGGAACTGGGTAGAAATACAAACTATGGGGCTCCTCCCCAGGTCTCTTGAATCTGGAACTCGGGTGGAAGGAGCCCGGCAATTTATTGCCTCCAGCTGCGCAGGCAATTCCGCTACCCACGGAAAAGCCACTGGCTTCAAAGTCTGCCCAGGCAGTGTTTCCCCGCTGGTCATTGGATGTAACCAGCTGGGTCCACCTTGTTTATCACTTACATCTCTTTTAGAAAGACGTCTGGTATCTGAGAGTGGGAAACCCTGCTAGATTGCACTAGTTGCTTGTAAAAAGTCACATACGCAATGGGAGAGAGAGAGAGAGAAAGAGAGAGAGAGATGGGACTTCCCCAGCTACAGTCCATTTTCAATATCCCTCCTCCTGAGAACTCCCAGACACATGCTAATTTGAAGCATTTCCTTCTCCTTCCAGGCTTCTATAGCCAGCTTCAGAAGCTCTCCTGGTTCTTCCAGAAAGCACCTTCTAAGATAATTTGCATAACCAAGAGGTCACAGAGAGAACACATCCCACTCCCCACTCCCCACTCCTTACTCCTAAATACACGGGCTTGAGGCTAAAGGGGAACCCCTTTCCTTCTCAGGCAGCCTAGCCTCCTATTCAAAGCAAGTCACTCCAAATTCCTGGGCTATGGGCAGGTAGCCCGGCGGTGGAGCCCCGTGGGGACAGATGGACAGACTCCAGCGAAATGAGAGGCACAGGGAGGAAGGGTGTGGTGGGTGTTGGGGTGCTGATGACCTGCTTTAAGAGGAGGGCGCTTGGGGAAGGAGAGATGTCTAGACTGGGGATACCTGTGTGGGGCAGTGTGGGGCGACCAGGTTTCCACGTTCTTTAGGCTCCTGATGGCCACAGCACAGTAACCGCCACCGTATTGCTTGTTTCTTTCAGTGGACAACTGTGTCATCTCCAGTGCACCCGGTCCCAGGGCGAGGCCCCGATGGATGGGGCTTCCCAGCAGCCATACTAGTACACCCATGGGTGTAGCCCTTCTTATTGCTGGTCCCACTCCTGATCTGATCTTTGCTCTCTAAATTTTTTTTGGATTCAGGATTTGTAGGAAACACTCATGTTTGTAAAGTGCTCTGGACAAATTCGGAAGACATTGGAGAAGGGTAAAGGGGTGTGTGTGTGTGTGTGTGTGTGTGTGTGAGAGAGAGAGAGAGAGAGAGAGAGAGAGAGAGAGAGAGAGAGGTGAGGTTAAACATAGCATCCAAGGGAGGTGTTTTGATTCTTACAATCATCTGTACATTATAAACATATACTCTTTGGAGCTTCCTGCCTGGCACACATTCAGGTTGGGTCTAGCATAGACAGCTCATAGCCACTCAAAGTAACAGATATTTGCATGGACCCTTTCCTTTAGAAATCAATTGCACAAATATAATCTCATTTGAGCCCAGGAATGCTTTGTGAGGCAAAAGAAGGAAAGAATTATTATTATTATCACATTGATCCCCATCTGCAGAGACCAGAAAACTGGTGACCAGGTTCCCTTTTAGGAAAGCTGGCCCCAGAACAAGAGCTTATTCCACTTGCTTCAAAATCATAGCCTCCTGTCTCAAATTTGAAGCCAAGGTTTCAAAGAATAGGCGGGAAGCATCGGGGGCTTTCATAAAAATCCCTTTGCATTTTGGGGTCCTCAGAGAATAAGCCTACGTTTTCCTCTTTGGGGCCGTCTGCACAGAGTGCCCAGAATTTTGAACTTTTGGTTTGTACAAAACCCAAGAGGGAGCTTAGACAACGTGCTGAACTGAGACCGGAAAAACTGAATCCAGGCTGGGACTCATCCTGGACTTGAACTCTGCCCATGGAGGGGAGGGCAGTGTCCCCTGATAGGAGAATTTGGGGATTAAGGAGGTGTCCAGATCTTGAAATGCACTTTCAAGGTCCAATGTGTGTGTGTGGGGAGGAGGGTAGAAGGGCACCCTGAAAAGCCCTCTGAGAGGCCTATGTCAGGCAGGTGGATGCAGCATCACCGCAGTTCCCAGCCCTCGGAGAAAGAAGGTGTTTACTGATCACCAGCAAGGGATGGTTCCCTCTTCTGCACAAGCCCCTTCTTTGAGGGCCCAGCTGAGGACTCCACCCCTCACCCGAATTTGAGGCGAGTAGGAGGCGAGTGCGGCAGGAAATAGGGGAGCTCTTCCTCCAGGTACCAAACCCAATCAAGAAAAAGAAAGAAAGAAAGAAAGAAAGAAAGAAAGAAAGAAAGAAAGAAAGAAAGAAAGAAAGAAAGAAAGAAAGAAAGAAAGAAAGAAAGAACACCCAAAAAGAAAGAGCAAACGAAGCGGAAGTTTCAAGGCCCTCTGCGAGGAATAACAGTATAAATAACCGAAGACGTCTTGTAAACACTGCGGTCATAACCCCGAACATTAAACAGCCTCGGTGGCATCTGGCTCGGGGGCTGCCGCGGGCCGCGCTGGGGCAGCCGCGAGGGAAGCGGGTCCCAGGCTCCCGGGCCCTGCCTCTCTGTTTATCTCAACTTAATCTTCCCCGATGAGCTGTTCTGAGGCCCGGGAGATGTTTAAAGAAAAGCCCAGGCCGCCGGAAGTCGTGGCGGGGAGCTGAGCGCACTGGCTAACCTTCACCGACAGGCAGGCAGGCTGGTTGTTAACACAAATTAGTTACTAATAAGAAACGTGTCATGGATGTGGCCGCTTTGAAAATCGGGAAGCATCTCCTAAGGGTTATGGAATCGACCCTTCTCATGAGCTCCCAGCATTTCTCCACTGGTTTCTAACCGCTAGTTACAGGTCCTCGCCTGGAAAGTTCTAAAACTGGGGGTTTCCCTTCTTCCCGCAACACGTCAGCAATGACCTGGTAGGATCCATGACCATCAGAGTTTCCTTTTCTGTATAACAGCAGCTTTAACTCTGCTCTTTCTTTATTTACGGTTACATTATTTCTGATTGTACAGAAAATAACCTGGGAGCGCAGAGGGGTTTTGGAAGTTTCAGTACAAAACCTGATCTGGACATCAGAGTGGAAATCGGACTTCATCCTTTTCTAACTCTGGGAGTTTGGGTTGAGGCACGAAAGAACCATTTATATTATCAAGCTTCCCTATAGTCCTCCATCCCAAAGAACATTTTCTATCCCAAAGAACATTTTTTTTTTAAATCACACCAAATGGCAGGGCTTTTTAGCAATATAAAGAGAGATTTATTTTCAAAAGTAGAAAAACTTGTTTGAAAAATATATATATATCTTTGAGTGAATTACTTTATAAAGGTGACTGTCAAAGTCAGCTATTCTATGATCTACACTTTACAACTTATGGTACAGAAGATACACATCGATAGGCTCTTATTAGCTATTCATATATTTATAATTACATATTGCACTTGGACCAGCAAGGCTCGCAGAGTCAATTCACGGTAACCAGGAATAACGTTAAATAGGTGGGAATCGTTGGAAGCACAACCCATCTCCTCGGGTTTGGAAACGAATCTCGAATCTCCTCCTCTGTAAAGTGTTCTCGCAGGGTGGGCCGGGGAGAGGAGCTTTGGGAGTGGGTGGGGGGGAGCGGGGAAGCAGAGGCAGACAGCAGGGAGGGCAGGGGTCGCCTTCGCCGGGCTCTTCCCCCGGGAGGGGAGCGCGCCTTTCCCAGACTCGCACCTCCAAGGTCAGGACGCCGTGGTTCCACACAAGCGGCTGGCGGTCACCACCTCCTTCAGGTCGCTCTCTGGCTTCCCGGCCACCATAAAGGGCCACGTCTGCAGGAGAGAAGAGCGGAGGAGGTGAGTGGCCGCCAAAGAGGGATGGGGTGGGTTCCCGGGGCCAGAGGGAAGGAAGAAGAGGGCTCGGTGGAGGCAGCGGCGAGCCACCCAGACCCGGGATCTCTGCATTCACAGGGAGCCTGTGGCTGGATAAAGCACAGCCCGGGGAGGCAGAGCAAAGAGGAGATGCCACTTGTTGGGGGCAAAGTGAAACCCGAGAGTGAAGGCCCCTCTTAAGCCCTAAGAGGCCCGTGCACGGTGCAGGCCGAGCCAAGAGCCCAGGGGACTTCTCTCCGGGGAATCTCCCTCGCCCTTCTGCTGAGGCCTTGGTCAGGCTTCCTGGATCTCCTGCTTTTAGCCCCATCTATCTTCTCCTGCCGACCTTCCTGTCCTCCACCACACGTGAGGGCTTTGGCCACAGATTCTGAGGGAATCGCTACCTCTTAAGGGGGAAAAATACTAATGAAAGAATAGACACTCATATTGTATTTAAGATCATCTTCCTACTGGGCTGAGCAAGGACAGCCTTCTCTTCTGGGCCTTTTAGGATAAAGCTCATGGAAGTTTCTTGCTCAAAGATAAAGGCAGCAGTAAAATGTCAACGAAGGCACTGCTTTCATTTGACTTCCAGATTTTAAAAAGCGATGGACTCGTCTCATTCAGAAAAACAGACTTTTAATTGGAGGGGAAAATATTTTTCGAGGCAAAACGTGGTTTTGCACCCCTCCCTTCTCCCCCAAATTCTGAAACTAACTCGGTGAGAAGACAATTTAGATCTTCAAACCTCTCTCCCTAGCTCTGGCAGATAAGACGGCTGGTAAGAGGAAAACTTCTCCTTCTTATCAGACACAAACAGAGGTGCTAGGAAGTGTTGTTTTTCTTTGGTGCCTGCACGTTTGAAAAACCAAATCACATGAAAAAAGAAACAAAATATATTTCTTTCACAGTAAAATGCATTGGAGAAAAAAACACATTAAGCTCAATGAGCATTACTTTTTAAAAATAGAAAAAAATTAAAATGTTCTTAAATCTTGGATGAAAGCGACTTCTTTAATATTATTTGTTACACCAGCACTGGCGAGAAGGTACTAATGATGCTGGTTATTTGCTAGAACTTCTGGGATTTAAAAATGTCAACCCACCTACAGGCGAAGCGCAGAATATTTAAGTGGTCGAGGACTTACATGACAATTAATTATGGGGGACCTGATGTGTCCATGTCTAACGGTCCTATACGTGCTTGAGAGAGAAACAGAGTTGGGCGGTTTTATTCACAAGCACTGGAGGGGGAAAATCTACCCTTCCGCTAAAGGAAGAATCAAGGGATTCATAACATGCCCCGTGGAGCGCAGCCTCTGGTCCAGGTTCCCTGACCCGTCCCCGCACCAGTCCCTCCACGCGAGTCCTGTGGCGCGGGTACAAGGGGATCCTCCTCTTTGCCAGCTCTCTCCACTTGCACACTCCTAATCAGGCTGCCACGTCAAACACTTGCATAAATCACCCCTGCTCCGGCGGCTTGCAGGGCAGAGAGAGAGAGAGAGAGAGAGAGAGAGAGAGAGAGAGAGAGGGAGAGAGAGAGAGGGCCTTGGGGGGATCTCCTGCCAGGGTCCCTGGAGGAGGCGCTGGGCGGGAGGGAGCGGGGTGCGGGGTCCCAGTCCAGAGCTCACACTGGGCGCTGGACAGCATCGCGGGGCGCATGGGCGGCGGGGCTACCCCGGGGAACTTACCAGGTTGACCGGGTGGATATACCCGTTCTCGTACTTGTCGTTGGCCAGGATCTGCCTCAGGTGGGCGATGTAGCTGGACGCCAGGCGCAGCGTGTCCAGCTTGGAGAGCTTGGTGTCCGGGGGCACCCAGGGCAGCGTGGTCTTGAGCCGGGAGAAGGCCTTGCTCAGCACCCGCATGCGGGCCCGCTCGCGCGCGTTGGCCGCGTTGCGCTGGACCTGCTTCCCCTCCTGGCTGACCCCGCTCAGCGGGCTCTTCTTGGGGGGCGCCTTCCTCCGCTTGCCCAGGCCGCCGCGGCCCTTGGGCGGGGACCCCGCCTCGCCGTTGGAGCTCTCCTCGGTGCTCTCGTTGGAAGTCGCGAACTCCTTGCTCGAGTCCATCTTCAGCCCGTCGCAGTCCAGCATCTCCACCTCCTGGAGGTCCTCCACGTCGCTGAGGGAGCCGGTGGACATGTTCGCGGGAGAGGATGAGCGGGGGAGAGGGGAGGGAGAGAGAGGACAGAGAGACCCGGAAACTAGTGGGCCCCCCTAGAGTGCAAGGTGGAGTGGCCACCTCGTGCTGGGAGCTGGGGATGGGGTTCCGGTGGGGTCTCGCACCCCTATCCCCTCCACAGAGGGAGCCGCCAGGGCCAGGGCTTCTTAGGGAAGGAACCCGGCCGCTCTGCGCCCCCACCCCGGAGCCGTGGCCTAGAGGAGAGTGAGAGAGCGCCGAGGAATTTGGTGGACACTAGGAATTTATCTGGGGAATAGAGAGGCGGATCCTGGCAGCCCAGGGGAGGGGCCTCCCAGGCCCCAGCGAGGCTCTTAGACCCCTTTCCCTCCCAACCGGAGGGAAACTCTCACCCACAGGCCCTGATTTCCAGCTTGTAATGTAAATCTACTCAACAGCAACACCAACACCTTCTTCCTCTTAGAGCCGGGCCTGGGAGGAGCTGAGCAGTACCCACAGCCCCTCTGCAGCGCTCATTGCCACCATCGCCCATCTCTAAGGCCTGTGTTCCCCACTAAGAGGTGCTTGTACATAAGCGAATTTTAGGAAAATGACCAGATCCTTTTTCCCCCTTTTTTCTGGGCCTTCCACCCATGAATCTCTAGCAAGCATCTCTCTTGCCTCCCCCTAGAAAGAAAATGCCACTTAGAATCCAGGCAGAGATCAGCTAGTTCTTGCCGACACCCTATAAGACTACAACAATCTTATCAAGAGATCTTCCAGCCTTAACCGGGCTAAATGAAGAAACAAGTTCTTCAGAGAATCTTTAGGGGGGATGTCAGAGAAAGTACCAACAAATTCACCTGCACCTGGTCACTTTCAAGATATCCAGGAACTGCCCGTGTATACACAAACACACCCACAGGCAGCCACACACATGGTGGGAGTGAGGGGAATGAGGTGGGGTAATATGAATGAGTGTGTGGTGATAACCTTTTCTTAACCAAATCAAAACTTTCCCCTAGATTTCTCTCTAAAAAAATGTATTTCATATTGTCTTAAGAATCCGTTGCTTTCAGACATCACCTTGTCTGAGACTTCTTATTTTCTCCTACCCAGGGCTGCTGCCTCTGTCTCTCTTTACATCCTCATGTGAAGCTGACATTCCAAAAACACTAAACAGTATTATTCCTTTGGGAAAGGTTCTTTTCCATTCATGACCCCAAACCAGGACCATCTTTACTAGATAATAAGAAAATCTGGGGAGTAGGAAAGCAGGGGGAACCAGAAACCAAGCAATGGAATGAAATTGATGAGATGAAACTGGATAGACTGAATGCAGGAGTCCCTCTTACCAGCACTTCCCTGGGTTTTGTTTCCCTGCAATTAGGCGCTGAAGATGAGGGGCTGAGGCAGCGCGTAAGTGTGGCATCTGAGCTTTTGGCCAGGAGCCTGCATCCCTCTCCTACATTAAGATATCATATCTCTAATCCTGGGCTCAGCTGGGAATTCGCTAACCCCTAACGTTTTGTTTTGTTAGCAGGGTCTTGTTTGCTTTCCCCCTATGCTGTAAACTAAACAGATTGTCAGCAAATCAGTCTTTATTAATGAATTAGTGAGACCCCCCCATCCCACCATAATATCTTTGCCTAGGATTCAAAATTTGTTAATCACCAGCGTAGAGATTTATGAGCTCTCTTATTTTCTGTTGTTTGTGCAGGTGGAGATTTAAATGACCATATCCACCACCAAGATTTATGGCGAGGGTGATTGATGTTATAAACCAGGAAAAAGACTCTTCCCACAGCAGGGATGACAGAAATATCAAGTTGAAGTTGCCTTTGTCCTCATGCACAAATGACCCAGTCCTAGAACGCAGAAAAGTATAATAATTTAATACTGAGAGCCAAGACAGTATGAAGAGAACACCCAGCAGGCCTGTTAAAATTTCCCTCACTGATTCGCAAACTGGTTTTCTTTGATTTGCCCTCCCTTTTCTCAGTCTTGGTAAGACATGAAAGTTAAAGTTATTTTTAGGCTAAAAGAACTATGTGAAATGGGCATTGGCCAATACTTTATGAAACGTGTGTGTGTGTGTGTGTGTGTGTGTGTGTGTGTGTTTGTGTGTGTGTGTAGCTCATGAGATATATGCAAAATAGCCACAGAAAATGTATTTATTTAGGCTCTGGAATATGCGTGCTTGCGAAAGAAATGTACAATTATTAGGGAAGGAAACTGAAGGATGATGATTAAGATCAGAATGATGGCCTTACTATGCACCAGGCTATGAAGCTGTAAAGGTTTTGCTTCTTGGAGTCATTCTTTTTTGGGGAAAGGGAGAAGGTGTGGTTTTCTGCTACACCTGAGTTTATAGGCCAGTCAGGCTGTTTGGGGGAGAGTAGCAATCAGAGTAATACATTCCACTGAGTAGATTTCTTCTGTCTATTTTTTAAGGTCTGCAACTTAAAAACAATTTCTAGAAGGGAACAAAACTGGCTTCATGCCATATGCTGATTTTTGTGCCTAGCAACTATTATTATTATTATTATTATTATTATTATTATTTAGATAAGCAAGAATTAAATACACTTATCCTGCAGTAATACATTTTGGCTGGGAAGGGTAAGTTAGTTGATAATGAACTTTGAGAGTGTTTGCAAAAACTTCCTAAGGGATGGATGCCAGTATGGGAGCAAGTTGTGAAGAAGGCTTTTATTTAGGTATCTTGATGTGAAGTCATGAAGAAAGTAGATTAATATGAGTAATACTTTTTTCTTTTGACATTTTGTGTCTATTCCTGCTAATAAACACTAAGGGACAAATGGGTAAGGGAAATGACTTATTGTTGGATTCTACTAAGGAAATCAGTGAAGCTGTAACTAAAGCTGTGCCAAATTCTCCCCAAATATAAACTACATTCTGTGAGAAGAGAAGCACGTTGGAGAAACTGTATGAACTCTTTCAATAACAAGAAAAATACTTTGAACGTTACTGTTTCAGAGCACCAGACAGAAGACCTGTGGTTTGAAAGCATGAGGTCGTTATTAGAAGTTCTTACCTTTCTTTTAAGAGTGTTTAGGCCCCAGAGACATCTGGCCAATTTGTTGCACACTTCTAACAATTTGTTTTTCAAAAAAGGGCTATCTCTGAAAGATTTCAATGCAGACAAAAATTTATCTTCCAAAGTTGTAAAATGAAGATTAGACATGGAATGTGTCCTTGAACTTAAATCCTCGTTTATCTACTGGTAAATTTTCAGGAAGTTCAAATTTGACTCAGTTGCATTGGATGGAATAACTTGCTTTATTTTTTATGAGAAGGAAAACATCACAGGCTTCTTTTGAACGGATTTCACATCCTCTTTCCCAGGGAAGAAAAATATGCTCTAAATTCAAATTTTAATTATTTTTTCATACTGCTCATTATCTGTCCAGGAGGCATATATGTTTGCAAATTGGCCAAATTACCAAATCTCTCCTTTTTCTCCACTTCCTATGAACACTTCCTGATGTGTCATTCTCTTTATTTGATGGCAACCACCTGAGCTGCAACAATGTGCTGACTTTGTATGCAAATCTGCACCTCTTTGTCCATTCCACTTACTTGTCACTGGTGATTGATTTTCATCTTCTGCTTAATGCCCCCTGAAATCTGACTCTATTTTATTAAAAATTTTGTTTTTGTCAATTCTCATAAGAGGATATCTTTTCAATTGTTTTTCAGAGAGACTGGAATGGAGGAATGGAGAGAGAGAGAGAGAGAGAAAGAGAGAGAGAGAGAGAGAGAGAAAGAGAGAGAGAGAGAGAGAGAGAGAAGGAGAGAGAAAGAGACATCTATGTGAGATAGATACACCAACTGGTTGCCTCCAACATGTGCCCCCCAAAGAACAAACCTGCATCCCAGTCCTTTGACACAGGCCCATGCTCTTAAGTACTAAGCAACACTGCCCAGGGTTATTTTACTAAATATTAACTTACTATAATGTGACCATTATGTCCCATTACTTTACTAAATTATAACTATGCTGGCTGTAGTACTAGTGAGTGAGATTGATGGCTAGCTAAGGAGATCAATAATGGTAATGTGAAGTGTTCCTGTTATCTCTGCCTGATATCATTTATGATCAATGATTTATAAATGCATTCAATTATCAGAAGTTCTTGCTCTGACCGATTTGGTTCAGTGGATAGAGCATTGGCCTGCAGCCTGAAAGGTTCCAGGTTCAATTTCAGTGAAGGACATGTACCTTGGTTGCAGGTACATCCCCAGTAGGGAGTGTGCAGGAGGCAGCTGATTGATGTTTCTCTCTCTCATGGATGTTTCTAACTCTCTATCCCTCTCCCTTCCTCTCTGTAAAAAAATATAAATGAAATATATATATATATATATATATATATATATATATGTATATGTATATATAACTTAAAAAAAAAGTCCTCTTGGTTTTCATCATACTCTAACTCTCTCTTTTCACATGTAATACAATGAACTGTAGGTCAGATGCCACAACACTGAGATTTAAAGCTGGCAAACAACATACAAGTCTAAAGAAAGACTCACCATGGTTCTTTAGACCCAAGAGTTAATCTTGAATCACACATGCTCCATAATACAACTTTGAAAGCAGGCACATGAAGGACAGAGTTTACCTTAATGAGAAGGGGGCTGAAAAAAACTCAGGCATATAGTGAGAGGTAAAAACTTTACAAATCCAGTTTAATGTTCTCCTAAGTCTTCTACTTCTAGGATATTTTTTATTAGATCTACTAAATATTAGGAAAGAAAGGAGGAAAAATTGAACAATCCTGCATTCTCCCATTTAATGTAGGATCTCTCCTTTCTGTTGTCACTACTGCAGAAAGAGCTGCCACATGAAATGAAAATCTTAATAGAAACGTGTGCCAGACTTCTGCCATAACAATAAAGCCTTAGAACGATTTTCTTGAGTGATGATTTTTCTGTATTTTAATGTAAAGCCCAAGAGCAAAGCCTCCCAAGTCTTCCTAAAGAGCATAAATCCAGT